AATGCGCCACCTACCGGCGGTATACAGATTTAAGCGTTATGGGCGTTAGAGTGGGCGTGGCAATTTTTTTTTGGATCAATCGATAGGTATCGACGAGACCAATACATTTCAGTTAAAATTTTTTATCTAGCATGAAAATTGTGGGCGTCACAGGTTTTCGCGGTTTGTGGGCGTTAAAGTGGGCGTGGCAAACTTTTTTTTGGGTCAATCGATAGGTATTGATGAGAACAATACATTTCAGTTAAAATTTTTATTCTAGCATCAAAACTGTAGGAGCCACAGTTTTGGGCGGTTTGTGGGCGTTAGAGTGGGCGTGGCACTATGCCGAAACAAACTTGCGCTGCGTAAAAAGCTCAGGAATCTGCACGCTAAATCTCAATAGCCTAGCTCCCATAGTTTCCGAGATCTCAGCGTTCATCCGGACGGACAGACAGACGGACAGACGGACAGACGGACAGACGGACAGACGGACAGACGGACATGGCTAGATCGACTCGGCTAGTGATCCTGATCAAGAATATATATACTTTGTGGGGTCGGAAACGCTTCCTTCTGCCTGTTACATACTTTCCGACGAATCTAGTATACCCTTTTACTCTACGAGTAACGGGTATAATTACCATGTAAATGGGTTAAAATTTGGACACTCGTTTAGAAGAAAAATTTAAATGCAGAATATTAGAGAATTCCACCACAAATTCATAGAGGTATCACACATCTAAATCGGAATCCAATAAGACATGTTATGGAATCTTGAAGTGCAGTTTTGGGTTCCCATACTGAAACCCATTGAAAATACGAAAAAATGTAACATGAAAATGGGTTAAAATTTCGACACTCGTGTACAAGAAAAATTTAAATGCAGTATATAAGAGAATTCCACCACAAATTCATTGAGGTATCACACGTCTAAATCGGGATCCAATAACACAAGTTATGGAATCTTAAAGTGCAGTTTTGGGTTCCCATACTGAAACCCATTGAAAATTCGAAAAAATTTAACATGTAAATGGGTTAAAATTTCGACACTCGTGTACAAGAAAAATTTAAATGCAGTATATTAGAGAATTCCACCACAAATTCATTGAGGTATCACACGTCTAAATCGGGATCCAATAAGACAAGTTATGAAATCTTGAAGTGCAGTTTTGGGTTCCCATACTGAAACCCATTGGAAATACGAAAAAATTTAACATGAAAATGGGTTAAAATTTCGAACTCGTTTAGAAGAAAAATTTAAATGCAGAATATTAGAGAATCACACCACAAATTCATAGAGGCATCACACGTCTAAGTCGGGATTCAATAAGACAAGTTATGGAATCTTGAAGTGCAGTTTTGGGTTCCCATACTAAAACCCGTTGGAAATACGAAAAAATTTAACATGAAAATGGATTAAAAATGTAAACCTCGTATAACAGATATATTTGAATGTAGATTATTAGATAACTTCACGACGAACTCATATAGGTATCCCACGACTAAATCGGGATCCAATAACCCAAGTTGTGGAATCTAGAAATCCAGTTTTGGGGTTCCCATTCTAAAATTAAAATTTAATTTATTTCCAAAGTGCAAATTAAGAAAAAAAATAATATTATTACACAAGATATAAAAGTATTCTTAATTGAAAGGAAGCTTTACTGCTTATAAAGTGATCTTTGTAGCGCCCTACGTATTAATTTATTTTCATATTTTTAATATCGCTGCAACTTAATGGCAACATGATGCACTGAAGTGCACCTTTTAACTTATTCCTTCCGCTCGTTGCAACATTGTTTCATGTTTTATCACCACATCGTCCTCTCTAAAAATAATCCCCCCAATGTGCATAAATTAGGCTCCCCGATCCGCAGTGTCTGGGGCTGTGTACACGCTAATTATAATGACAAATCGGTCAATTATAATGCCATGTCATAAATTTCCGAACTGCGATCGATCAGCCAACCCCGTTCGACTCGACTCGAATATTGAATAAAATGGATCGTAAATTGGGAAAACATGCCTGTTCACCGTGCTCACCTGCATGGGGGCGACTTCATTAAGGAGCTACATATATGCTAGCTTGGCATCGAAATAATTAACAGGACTCTCTGGGATTCTCTAGACGAAAAGTGCAGATTCTTGTAAGCCAGATCAATGGGCGAGCAATTTGCCAGCACAGCTCAAGGCAAAAGTAAAAGGAAGCTGCATGGGGATGTGGATGTGGATGCGGATGCAGTTGGAAATCGGGACTTTAATGAAGCCAGTGGACAGCCTCCTCGAAAGCTGTCAGAATGCCCATTTCGGCGCCACGCCCCAGCATTAAAAAGCCACTAACCAGGACATGGGGGCGGGGGCGTGGCACCGGTCAACCTGTCATAACGATCGGCGATCGTGTAGTTTTCAAATTTATGGTCGACACGCAATTCTACGCCCCCGAAGGCGAGAATTGTAGACTGGGAGAAAATCAACAATCCAAAAATTTTAGTATTTACAAACTCATTAAATATTAATAACATTTTAAGTTTGTGAAAGTCACTATGTTAATTAAGAGTATTCCGATTGAATATCTTAAGACACCGTAATAAATGTCTTCATATAATATCTATATATGTAATGTATTTTATAAGTAAAATTTGTTAGATCCTCTTATAAAAGAATTCAATTACTAATACTTTGGAATTATTTCCTTAATCAGAAAGGTAACACTTTAAAAACGGATATCTAAAGCTATTTCCTGTTAAAGCAATATAAAATGAATCGGTTCTTTCCGTGCACTGGTGGAATGGCAACGTGTTTGCCAGGCATTCATCGTGCTTTATTTCAGTTAAGTTCTTTCACTTCAGCGAAGGCGAAGAGAACTGTTTCCCCAGGTAATTGCCGCACTTAAGCGCAACGGTATAACCAGTTCCCCAGCCATCTGAATCTCGAAAGCCAGCTCCTCCTCTCGGGAGATGTCCATCAGGCAGCTGACCGCAGAAAGGGCACGGCCGGGTCCCCATCCATAGGTCCAAACCCATCCCATGCCATCCACAGCCCCAGCAGTTTTGTCTCTGCCTCCCTGGCATTTCGCATTAAATCTGCAACGGGCCAAGGCACATTCTCTTTTTCCATACCCTTGAATGGGGGTATTGTAATTGTTTATTGGTTTCAAGTACTTTGTAAGGGATTTTTGCTTATAATGTATAACAAAAATTTCGAAACTTTCGATTTGGCCTTCATTATGGACATTATATCTAAAAAATGGCTTGTGTGCCTTTAAATGTTCTTGACATTACAAATATTTTTACCATTTCATTGTATTGTTAGGCGACATATATTAACTTTAAGACGATTATTTTTAGAAAGAAAGATATTCAAAAAGTGGCACAGATTCCGAAACAAATAATTCTTTATTGTACTTCTTAGTATCCACATCCTTGTACAAATATACTTATGTAATTATATATTTCATTACATTTTCAAGCGTGTAGTGAATTTATATAACAACATTTAAACTATAGGAATTATTTTTATAATATTTCTTAATAATCATTTTTTTTACCGTATTCAATCAAGAGATTTCCAAGTGTATCCCAAGCCTCGGTGCCGGATGCTCACGTTCCTTCGTGATTTTATGGTCATGTGCTGTATTTCTTCACGCAGATCGCGTCGTTGATGCAGCCGGGTCAGAATCGCAGTCGGGGACTCGAACTTGGCCTGTGATTGCCGGTTTGCGATAAGACAGCATACCAAAGCCCGAACTCCGATTGTCTTACATATCTAAAAATAGCCGGGGCCTGAAACCGAATCTGAATCTGAAGCTGGCACCGAAACTGCAACCTGGCACTGGCGCATGCAATCATTAGTGGAAATTTTACCGGCCACTCTCCAGATGGTTATAAATATATCCAGTGTCCAGTCCCCGAGGGGCAATAAAACCAGCCAAATGACGACACGCAGACGCCAAAGAAGAGGCTTTTTTTCGGGGAGGGAGGCGCATTCCAGGTGGAAAGAAGGCGACCGCGAGCAAGGTCGTTCAGCGACCTTCGCAGCCACTGGTTTCCCGTTGAGTGCCGCTTTTACGGGCTCAGTTTCTTGGGGCAGATCAGTAAACAACCGCTGGACATTTATGGAAATGCTGCTCTTAATTGGCCAAATGTGGCCTATAAAGGCCTAAACGGCCGCCTTGACTTTGTCACCGGCTTTCTGTCCCTTGTGCCCCATCTCATTGTATCGTAAGGGATTCCAGTTCTTCGCGGGCTTTTGGCTTCCGCGTTTCACTCGGAAGAGTGATAGCCCAGCAGGTTTTAGCTGCCAGGGCATTATCATTATCCCAACGCAGAAGAGCTCTTGTCACTGCTTATCTTTTGATCCATGTACTGAGAACAATCAAAGGTGCCTTAATATTTTAGATGTATAGGTCTTAGGGTTTTCCCAAAGCAAAGTTTTCGTAATAGATCATATTTCCACTTAATCTGATTACTGATAAAATATGATAAAAACCAATGGCTGCTATGTTGAAGAATATGGGTTTAATATTCTTATTTTATCCTATCTCAAACTACATGGACTTGACATGAACTGCAAGAAGAATATTAGTTTGTTGTTGCAGTACCTATTATATATTTTAGTAAACTATTTAAAATTTAAAATATATGCAAAAACAATGATCCTATAAGTGAGTTATTAAAATTAACGATTTTCTTATCATTATAATCCATTTTCTTCATATATGAATTCAAACCTCCCCAAACTACTTCTGAGTGTACTTATACCTCTGAACTGCGATTCCTTGGCGTCAGCTGCCTGGCTGCTGCTTTGTCACTTGTTCATATCAATTAAATTTTAATGATATTGTCCAGAAAAACGACTCTCTTCAATGCGCCACAGGCTGCATGTTTTTAATCAATTTTAAGTGGCTATTTACTTTGCGGATCGGAGGAGCGTTCGCCCCAGGACAACCTGTTTCCCCATCGTATCCCAATCACATCCGTTCCCCGCCCGCTGCGAGATTAATGATTAATGCACAACTCCGATTTACTTTCAATGTAATTTAGTTTATTTCACTACGCAAGTCACTTAATGCTCTAATTAGGATAGTGTTTCGCTCGTTCTTAATGCTGGTAGGTGCTCTGATTTTATGGCAAGTTGCAAGTTGCTAGTTCTGCGGATTTGAGTGCGCTGGTCGGCTGAATAAATTAGGCTCGGATTTATGGTTACGGGCTACAATTACAATTACAATACCAACAACTACAATAAATTAATTAAAACATTAACTAAACATTAAACAAAATTCGTTTACTGACTAAACACACACACTGATCTCGTGGGAACTCAACTAGTGGCTACATACTAGGGTACATCTAATTAGGATTACCTATTTAGATCTAGGATTAGGTTATCTAGGCTAACTACAATACGACTTGGATCACATGTGAATGCCTTTGCAGCTGTCTCTTCATTGGGGAAGTGCGGAGTTTTTGGACACTCGGAAAAACCATCACTCTGAACTTGGGAAAATCGCCGTGTGTTTCAGAATTTACTTATTTATAATAAAACTATAATTATACAAATGTTTTACGAATCAACTTAATTTTTCTAAAAATTTAAATATAGCCTACTGAATTTCTTTTAATTTTTGAAATATTTTATTTGACGCTAATGGTATTTCATTTTCTTTACAGCTCTCCTTTTTTAAGTCTTTGTGTTTAATTCACAAGATCATTTTACTTTATAGACCTAAGACTAAAAAGATGTTATTAAGTATTTAAATATATAATACGATATATTACATTGAGTTGGTACTTTTTTACTTTTATAACAAAAATTGAAAGTGTTCTCTTTTGTTATATGTATTTTAGATGATCAAAATACATATATTTTTACTAGTTCTAATTCTTCCCTGCCTTCCCCTAGCCTTTCAAAATGTTCTTTAAAATGTATCATGAAGTTTCCCAATCTCTTCCAACTTCCCTGTATTTTGCAATGATTTTTCCCTGTTCTGGCGATTTTCCCCACTTCATTGAGGCTGTTTTTCCGCGTGGAGGCTGACCATTTGGCCCCTACTTGAGCTTGAGAAACGTGAGCAACGCCTTCTGTATCAGACTGCGGTTGATGGTGGAGTCGGCAGTGTAACGCACTCCCCACAGGTTCCCATCGTTGTGGTCCACCACTCCGTACTCGCCGACGATGAAGCCGTCGTCGGTCTTCTCCTCCACCCGGTACTTTCGGTAGTTGCGTCCCTCGACCACGTAGGCGACTTTGTCTTCGTCATCGGGGGCTGTATCAGGGGGGCCTCCCTGGCCCTCCGATCCGGAGTCCCCATCCCCAGAGTCTCCATCACCATCATCGCCATCCGAGTAATCGTTGGCATTTGCATTGTAAACCACCGAGCCACGTCCTCTGTTGATGCCACGATTTGAGCTGGTGGCGGTGGTGCTTGGGTTGGCTTGGACTGGACCGGCTGGCGTGGTGACCTGCCCCTGCCCCACTGCACCACCTGCACCACCCTGCAGTCCATGGGCTCGTCCGTTCGTCATAACACTAACGGACTCCTCAATTTCGTAATTCTGCTCTGAGGTCGGAGTATAGAGCTCGGGGCGCTCGGTGGTGAAGTGCTGTTTCCCAGCTGAGGAGGCCGAGGCAGAGCCAGAGGATGAGGAGGACGAGGAGGAGGACGAGCTGGAGCTGTACGAATAGCCACCGCCTGACCCCGGAGACGATGGCGCCGATGGGTCCACCACTGATGCCGATCCGGCTGCTCCATGCTGGTGTGCAAATTTGGAAACACATTTGACTAGATCTGCGGGGGAGATGCAACAAGAGATGATGTTTGATAAGTTCAAGATTAGTTGGCCGGGGTTCAAGTGGTTAAACCCGTGCGTTGTCGCTGTCTGTCATAACTACACTGGGCAGAAGGTATGGGAACAAGTCTCAAAACGATTAAAAAAAAGATAACTGACATTAATTTGAAACTCACATTGTAAGTGAAGGAATATTGAATAGAATATTGTTCATATTGTTCCCCAAAAATGTTAAAAATTACTTTGAAGAAGCCAAATAGTATCCAATAAACTGCGAAATTGATCTGTAATAGAACTCCAATTTATCCCGACTTTGTTTACTCTTAGGTCTACAATTGCTTCTCCTCGAGTAAAACAGGTCATAATAAATGATATGCGATTAAACTTGATGGGCCCAGCAAATTGATCTGTTTAATTTATGCATTGCAACACTCGCCCTGCTGCACAGTGTAATTTGTTTAACCAGATTCAGATCCAAGACCCCGAGACTTGGACTCACCTCTATTGGGCAATCCTTTGGCATTTTGATTAGAATGTTGATGCGGCGGTGATGAATGCTGACGTTGTTGCTCCCAGCACGGACTTGCAGCTTGATGTTGCTGTTGCTGTTGGTGTTGCTGTTGGTGTTGCTGCTGCAGATGTTGCTGCTGCTGGTGGTAGTGGCTCGGACTTGAGTGCTTCGATAAAATTGGTTCCAATGGATGCAACTGCGACTGCGGCTGCGGTGCATTCAATAAATCATAAGGCAATTTATCCAAATTGAAGAGCACTCTGCGAGTTGGATGAGCCGGCTGCTGCTGGTGGCTGTAGCTGTGATAATGATGCTGCCAAGTGGTTGGCCTGATGCTGGTGGAGGTTCCACTAGCAGGAGGCTTCACTGTGGTGACCCTGCTGGCCAGTGTTGCTGCCGTGCTGCCCGATGTTGCTGCCGTGCTGCTTGGTGTTGCTGCTGTCGTGCTGCTTGTGCTCTGGGCCTCGCCAAAAGCGATGCGCGAGACAATCGCAGGTCGTGGTCTGGATCTGAGTGGCACAAAAGAGGTGGTTGTAGGGGGTTTCTCGGTGGTGCTGGTCGAGGGTGAGGATGAGGTTGCTGTGGTGCTGCCCAGTGGTGTTGCTGCAGTGGTGGTCAGTGTCTGTGGCCAGTAGTCTTAGCCGGTTCGCCGTAGACCTTCGAGGGTTGCGAGTACACTTTAGCCGGCTCCGAGTAGAACTTAGAGGGCTGCCCGTAGACTTTCGAGGGCTCTGAGTAACCTTCTCCGGCTGACCATACATTTTGGCGGGCTCCGAGTAAACCTTGGCTGGTTCTGAGTAAAACTTACTGGGTACACTGTACATTTTCGAGGGTACCGAGTAGAACTTGGCTGGTTCCGAGGAGCCATGTCCATGCTTCAAGCTCTCACTCACATTTCTCTGGGCCTCCGCCAGAATGCCACTTCTCGACTGCTGCCAGGTCTGCAAATCATCCACGTTTTGGGAGATGGAACTGTAGGATATCGACCTGGACTGGGGTCCCCTGCTGCCCTGTTTGGTGTCATGATAAATCACCGTTTGAAAGGGCAACCTGCCGCAGAACCAGTTCCTACAGACTCGTCTTCGGTCACCTCACTTTGGTTTTTAAGAAAGGAATGTGTAGAGGCGGCTGCCAGCAAAGGAGCAGCCAGTACACTTTGTATACTGGAGGCACTGTTCAGGGAATCCACCTCGCTGTCCATGGAATCCCCGCCAATCGGGGTTCCGATTCCTCTATAGATAGTTCACTCTTATGCGAGCGGTTCACGAAATCCGTGCCACTTCCTGTGGCACCAGAAGGAGAACTGCTCCTCGAAGGACCTCTTTTGCTGGAGGAACTCACACTCACGGCCACCACTTTGACCTCATCGCTGGACTTTCCCTTGACTTTTGCGGGGGCGTCCTCGAGGAACACTATTTTACTGCCCGTGGTGACCAATTTGGCCTGCTTGGAGTCTGATGGCTCCTCGTCCTGGGAGTTACCCGAGGTCAGGGAGTTCCCATAGCGATTCCTGCCGACATCCAGGCTCTTCCGGTCCCCATCCGCTGGCGGGGATTGGGGGATGAGGATGGTGACTCCGCCCGACCCTCGAAGTCCTGCTCGCTGCTGTGCAGACTCCGTTGTTGGTCATCGTGGTCGAGGAACAGCTTGAGGAACTCGTTGCCCGCGATGAGCTCACTCTGCCTGCTGGCCGGCAAGGGGGCGGGTGCGGGGCGTGTCCGGCAGCCGGACAACATCTGAAATGTCAGAGATAAAGGAGTGTTAGTTATGCGCGACATTTCCCTGAATTCAGGTTATATTTTAAGGCAGTCGAGGGGTGAGAGCATCAGCACTTGGAAAAAAAGTGGTATAAAATAAAAAAAAGTTGCAATACTACCAAGATTTTTCGGTTCTTACTTTGAAATACTTAAATAAAATAAGTATAATTAAAAGAATATAAAAGATTTACGACTTATACCCAAAAACTATTTATAAGAAATTTAAAAGAATTTGCCCACGTACTATAGATTTATCATAAAGTGCAGTAAGTATATATGTTCTCCAACTGCAATCGGGGGTGATCGCATTTCGAGCTTATCTCAGCGATCTATTAATAAATTTGCGTAATTAAAATATCATTTGTATCGATCCACATGGGCTGAGATATGTCTTCATGTCGCGTTGAAATATGCAAAAGTCATGCAATGGACGACCGCGATCTGGACCTCGACTCGATGGCATTTGAATAAAGCGGAATAATGCGGCGGTTGGTCTATTAAGACATCAGAGGAATGCCAGCGGTGCTCCGTTTGAAGTGGGGCATGTTTCTGCGGAGTCCCTGGTCAAGTGGCGAATGTGGCATAATTAACCGCGTTGCAAGTGCTCAAGTGGGTGGCGTAAGGTAGCGAAAACACCGATCGAACAAACAGTTCGAGCCGGGCATTATGGATTGCCCAATGGTTACGTCCAAATGGAACCAGCTCCACTCGAGTGGAAAACGTGGAAACACTACTTAAGCGCTGCCGGTCAATCTGTCACTCGGCGTCATTCAGGTATTTATGTTCCTACCGATTTGCATGCATTTCACTGACTCATCTCGCGATTTATCAACCTGTTTTGGTTGAGGAAGTAATTTTCCCGACCTGACTAAAGGACAAGTTTATAAGGGTGTCAGATTCCATTATTGGTTTTGTCCTTTTCGATGAGTAACGCTTGATTTAAGGTAAATGAAATGTCGTCATCCATACATTGGTGGTTTTAAGAGATCTGGCGATGTTGGGGTGAATGGAGGTTGAGTCAGAATTTTGGTAATTAGCCAAAATTGTTCTGAAGAAATTTTAGATTCTAAAAATATACATTAAATGTTGGAGTTCTTATTAAATGACATATATTTAATACAACTTTAATCTCGTAACTAATTATTTCCCCTTTTTACCTCTACTGAAAGCCCACAGTTTATTGCCTTTCAATCCAGCAATAATATAAATGTAATGCACCATTAAATTGCTTTATTAGCTGGGCAATTTACATCCATATCTGCGCCACAACACTAACATAACGCTCCAGTGCGAATTCATGGCCAGAGATCGGCCATAAATTGTTATCAGCGCCACACACCCACCACAGAAACAAAAGACTTAGGGCACGAACTCGCCCTGCAAACGCCCCGTCGATCAAATCGGCCAATAAAACATATTTATGGATATTTATCGATCGGCATAAGTATTAGCATTGCTAATTGCAATGAGGCAGATCATTTACTAGCCAACACTTTTGAAAGGCGCAAATTGAAAACAATGAAAAATGGCGAAAATTGAATCAAATTCGCGTTTTAATGGAAACCGATCGCTGCTGCGAATATAATAGCATAATTATTCAATCTGTTGGTACATATAAATCGGATTTTTTATATTTTCTAATGTGTGTTTATATCCCCCTGAGCAAGAACAATAACAACATCCGGCAGTGGAGTGGGCGCCTGTCGCCGAGCATTTTCTAGAGCAGATCTGGGCGAACAACACCTTCGCACATGTGCTAAAGTTACAAAGTTAGCAGCCAACCAACCGACTGACTGACCAACCAGTTACTATATAACTATATCACTAGATCGGTTAGTCATCCGTCGGGTCGCCTTGCCTTTTATGTCTAAAATTGCAGAAGTAACCGACCGCGGGCGTTGAATGGAAAATGTATAGTAAGTGGAAAAGCGACAGTTAGCATTGACACCAAATTAACCAAGTGACAATTACAAAAGGGCCCCAACTATTCGGTTTCGCCCTAAAACAAAGCAAAAAACGTTCTAAAAATATCAAAACCGAATTGAACAATGCGAATTCCTTTCCATTGTGGGGTTATTTAAAACGCCTGGTCAGTGACGTGCTCCAGTTTAATGAATGAATTGGGTAATGGGTTTTGGTTTTCTGGTTCGGGTTCCTTCAACCAGCCACTCGAATGATAAGCAATTATTAATCTTGATTGATTTATCAGGTAGCTAATCCTGTTTCGACATTCTTTTGCACTTTGCCTGGAGTATGCGATAATTTATCATTCGATTGTGGCGATTTGGCGACAATTTTCACGGCTGTCAACTTAGCGGAAGTGTCAAAAAAAGTAAACTTTCAGAATATCACGTATCCGCCTTGTGTGCGCGTGAATGGACAGCAGACAATTAAGCAATAATCACGCCTTAATGAGCACTCTCTTTATTGCGATCATTTGGCCCACTCGATTGGCTTTCAAGTGCCGCTGATGCTGCCATTCGATACTCTGGATACTCAACCATCCAATACTCGATGCTTTAATTAGCCACCATCATCGTGATTTCAGTTTTTACACGCTTGACACTAAACAAACACCACGGATTGACAGATTGAATTCATGTCTGCGTTATGCAAATTTCGGAAGTATTTTGATTGATATGGGGGCACTGCCACCATGTACTTCTTGTAAACAGGATTGGGAGAGGGGCCAGTGACTCAGGCCACGAACTAAGATATCGAATGCGGAAAAAGTCATGTAACCCCCCCATTTCTGGCATTTCTGCATATTTTTCGAGTGCTGTCCGCGGGCATTTTGTGCTAGAAGTGGGCGGCTTCCAAGGAGCAGCCACCGTTGCGATTTGCAGCCGAAAAGCAGTCGGTGGCCAAGTGAATGTGTCAGCGGGTACATTTTCCCCATAAACCCAGCCTAAACTGCCCGGCCAAAGTCTAATCTCGGGCAGCAGACATCGGACATTCGCTGGCCTAAGCCACCACCCGCTGTCGTCAGCTGGGCAACACATTGTGTGCACAATATTACAGGCCAGCGCCAGCGGAGGTTTGTGCACTGAAAAAAGGGGAACCAAGTGTTATCCGAAAAATAAAATATTTTTAGACCTATAAAACAGCTTACATATTTAATTCCAAGGTAATTTCGAATTTAAGTAGCTAAATGTTTTCTGTTTGTTTGTATTTGGTTGAAAGTTTTTTTCCTTAATGAACAAATCTTGCAACTTAGATTGACAAGCATTACAAAAAATGTAAAATATATTTAGAATTAATTACTTTTAGAATATTCTGGAAGGTGATATTCTGTTCCTTAATTTTTCTGAGTGCTCCTATCGAGCTATCGATCTTCCAGCCAAGTGCAGCCCACATTAGGGCCATGCTCAATGCCACAGAATGGGGCAGAATAAATCAGACTCCAATTCTACTCCGAGTCGATCCAAATTGCAGCTATCAACCTGGGCTGTGGCACAAAAACACACATTTATTAATTACACGGCAGAGACACATAAACCGAAAACGGATTTGTGTGGGAAATTAACCCATGCTGGCCCCAGAACGTTTAGCAGCAACTCAACACCATGAACGAGACTGTTTATTTGATGAATACTCGTGTAATCCGAGTCGCGGATGTGCCTCGGTGGGTTAATAATGGCTTATAATCGCAAAGAAAATCCGAGTTTAGAATGTAGTTGCACCACTGGCGGCGCTGCCGCCGCACCACTCCCTGCCCCGCTGTGCATAATTTGCAAATTGCCGTCGTCATCGCCATTGAATGGCCAAAAGACAGAGTCTGAGTTTCAGCCACAAACAGAGCAAAAGTCGGAGCCACAAACAGAGGCAGTCCAAGAGTTAGATGCACATAAAACACTCGCAGAAATGGGTGATAAATTAAGACAGACAGTTCTAATTTCAAGAAAATTAAATCTTTATGGGGTACTAAAATATACCTAAAACAAAAAGAGGATTTATAAAAATAAATTTATAATAATGAAATGTTTCATATTTTATAAATATTTTTTAAAGTATGTAACAAATCGTTTCGGTTTTCCACATAAAACTCTTTTATTCCCTGTCAACTTTCTGCACTTAACTGCCATATTTTTTCCGAGTATAGAAGGCAACACACTGCATTTAAATCGCGTGCAATTATTTAGTTTACTGGGCTTCAGTTTGCCTGGCTTTACTCCACATTACTCACAATCAACTCGGTCTGTCTAATGAGCAGTCAATAAAGTGCCGGCCAGACACAAAAGCGAGTGTGTGGAAAAAATTAATTCCAAATGCATTTTCCAGCCAACAAGCCAGCCAGCCAGCAGCAGAATTATGGATGATTTGGGCTAATAAAACCGAAGTCGGCAAACAAATGGAGTGCGATCGCACCATTAAACCATTTTTCAAAATGCATTGGCCAAGTTAATGGAGCCACCGCCTGTGAATGCGAGTGCATTTGGCAATTGCATTATTGTGCCTGGGAATTGCTGGCCACAAAGATGAGGTCTCAATTGGACTATAAAGTTTTCTTTTCGGGGTTAGTTGGGTGCCATTTGAATCAATTTTGTGCGATTGTTAAATCGAAATCCGTGTGGAAGGAAAACGAAACATTCCAAGTTTAAGATCAGATAAATTGATTGATTGCTTTTGGATATGATGAAACGGAAATGAGTTCATCAACTACTCCTGAAAAGCTTTTATTGAACTTACAGTTTTCAATGGTGGCATTTAAAATTAGATTTAGGAAAAATTACTTTCTAAAAAAACACCTTTACAATTCAAGAATTACATACCATTAGGCATAAATACCTAATCGCTTTTGGAAGTGCTTGAAGTAGAGTGTAAACTAGTTTAATTTGGTTGCTTGAATGACCGAAACTAAGCCTTGAACTTAAGCGTGGCTCTGACCAAAGACTCAACAAGTTCCCTGGAATTCGTTGGCACCTGGCCATAAATAAGTGAATAACCAACTTAATGCGACACTCACCAGCAGCAAAAAACAGAGTTTGAGGACCCAGCAAAAGTGTGCCATTCCGCTTTCGGGTTAATCCACCTGTCCACCTTTAAATCAAGCGCTTTAGTGCTTCTTTTGTTCTCAGTGCTCAAATGGGGATCCTTTCCTGGGGCTCCTCAGTGATTCATTGGGCCACTTTTGACCACCAGCTGCTCTGCGATCATTCTGGCCACTGTGTCTCTCTGGGATTTGGTTAATGGCTGCAATTAGGGTAGACAAAAAAGGTAATTAGCAAACGAAGTGGTAGATAAGTTTCCAAGATTGACTGCTATTAGAGATATTTGAAAAACAAATCGCGGTACCAAAACAAATTCATTGCGTTTATCGATAAGCCATGGGAAAAATCCACTCCAAATGTCAAGGTGCATTTCACACCAGAACTCGCCGAGAGTCGGAGGCACTTGCAGCTAATTTTAAGAGTCTCGTCGAATTCCGCAGTTAACTGAGATGCACTCAAAAAAAAAAAATAAAATATAATTATAAAATACATTTAAAAGGACTTTTTCCAATGAAAGCTTTAAAGGTTTGCAAAATGAATAAACCTTAACTACTACAATACAAAATAAATAGATTTTCCTAAAGCACACTTTTAGGTTTGCGTTATAAAGACATTGATAAAAAATCAATATGGTGTTAAAATTGTGTATGAAGGTATTTATGCATTGTTGCATACTTTAGATACCACCAATATTACATTTAGTAACCATTTCCAACAATTAAAACATTAAAGCCATTCTTAGTTTACATTGAAACTTAAGGTAACATTTGCATGCGCTTACCTTTGTGTTTAGTTTTTACCCCAAGTTCAAAGACTTTTAAGGGCCTGTGGTTTTTTTGGGTGTAGAAGAATCATTGAACTTGTATTGGCAACAGGTTGGCAACAGCAGCAGCAGCTAGCAATAGCAACTAACCAGCAACTTCAAGAAGCGGCCAACAAGTTGCAGAGTCTGGCCACAAACAAAAAAGAGCCGAGAGCCAAAAGCCAAGCCCAAAACCCAAAACCAAAAACCCAGACAGATGCTCAGTCGTCTGTTGCATTTCAACATATTTATAATTAATGGCAAGGTATTTTGATAGCTTTTTGTTGCCAGCAATTGGCATGCCATTGAAGTGGGTACCAAGATTTTTGGCCCGGAGTTGCTGCAATCGATGGCCAAAAATCCGTGGTGATGGGTTTGATTTGGCCAGGCATAATTTAATTAACCGTTCTCAGGCATTTCCGCCACTCGGAGACCATGTAATTAAACTCCAGCCAAAGTCAAATCCATAAAAAATCATATTTCTTTTTGCGGAGCTAGGCAAAAGCCGAAGGAAAGAAAGAGACGTAGCCGAAAACCAGTTCTAATTCTTATCAAGCCTTCTTCACAGGCCACATAATTACTCATGGCCTCTCCAGCTATTTTTTTCCATATTTTTTAATATTAGACAGCGTTTAATTACCATGGAATTCTGCGGGGAAAACAAATATGTTTATGGCAAGCGGGCATCTCATTAAAAACGAAAGTTTCAAAGTTTCGTTCTTAGCCAAGTGAGGGGTCATTAATTAGCCAAAGTCATATGGAAATGCCAGAACCTCCCATTTAAGCCGGCATCCATTATTTTATTCTGTTCTTTTCGCTCTACGCTAAGCTTTATGCCTGACGTCACCTCAATTTCTTTTATTCTCTTATTTTGTAGCTGTCTTGCTGGCAGATGCTCATCATTAAGTTAGTCTGTAAGTTCCTTGGCCTTTCGAGTCTTTTGTGCAAAGCCCATCCAGAGGAAAGTAAAAGTTCTGACGTCCGCCGTTTTGTTCACACATTCATTATCCGCAGTTTATCGTCCGTAAATTACAACTAGTCTATTACTATAAAGCTGCACCCATAATTGTCATAGGAATTAGAATCGGAATATGTTCTAGATCTTGCTTTTGCTGGGAGCAGGTATCTCGGACGACCACTTGGGTTAAGGCCAAAAACAATTGGATTCAAATATGGAAAATCATTGAATTCGAAATACTCTTTTGGAATATTATTTTAAAAATATCTTTGTGTAACCGTAGTTAATGTATTCTTGGAAACAATATTTTTCAAAGAGAAACAAGTTTTGTGGTCTTAGGAACTTGTTGTTGGAAGATCTTTAAGATATAAAAATTAATGATGGGTTAGTTTCATAGGCAGTCTATAGAAGACGGCAGACCATTGTATAAGCTAAATACAAAATGATGGCTGGAGTCCTATTTTGGATCGTATCATTAAAAACTTTGTAAGGAGTTAATTAACCTATAATGAAATTGGAAGTTATTTCTAAATTTAAAAAGTCCTATTTATACAACCTTTTGTATTATTAAAAAATAATCAAAGATGTTATTTTTATAACACTAGATTTAGTGAGATTTATGTGCTCAAAATAATATATTCTCAGCAATTATAGATCTCCCTTCTTTGGAAGTGCAGCAACCGCAACTTGGTCTTGAAATCTTAATGGAATAATGGCACTCGTGAATGCCCATTGGCGTTACTAAATTTGTGACGTACTCACACTCACGGGCGGTTAGTATATAAATTAGAATGCTAATCGATAGTTATGGATACGCCCTGAAAGCGGCCAACTCGGGGAACTGGAAGATCGGCGAGGTGCGAACGGTGGACAATGGGCAACTGACAGATTCCGGTTAATAAACTTGATTTAAAACCAGAAGTGAACACTGCGGCAAAAGGTAATGGCAAATAAATTGCCACTAAGTACACACACAATGCATGGCCGTACAAATGACACAAAAAATAAAGGAACAATGAGGCAAAATAAAATGTGTAACAAATGGACAAACGTGGCCCGCACCCGCAATTCACTCAGATTTAGATTCCGATTCGAAATCAGATTCATATTTAGATTCAGACGGGGACGAGACAAGTGTTGGACCCTGTGACAAATTGTCAAACATTCGCATTCTCATACCACGTCTACTGCTCGGAAAATGTCGCACGACGACTGCAATTCATATTCATTAACAATCGAAGTGGAGTTGATTCGAGTTCAGTTCAGGTGACTTCAGTTTGTTGAGTTGGGTTGAGGGACGGGCAGGCTCAAAGCCAAAAAGCCAAAAGAAGGGAGAGGCCACATTCGTATGCGTTATTTTATCAACAGCCAAAAAATGCGAGAGAAAAGAAACACATGCTCGTAATACACTTGCTCCAAATCTCACTACAGATTTATAACAATTATAAAAAGTTGTTCTAAAAATCTTTAAAGCTGTCTATCTGTCTATCCATCCATCTATCTATCTATCTATCTATCTATCTATCTATCTATTATCTATCTATCTATCTATCTATCTATTATCTATCTATCTATCTATCTATCTATCTATCTATCTATCTATCTATCTATCTATCTATCTATCTATCTATCTATCTATCTATTATCTATCTATCTATCTATCTATCTGTCTATCTATCTATTTATCTATCTATCTATATTTATCTATCTATCTATCTATCTATCTATTCTATCTATCTATCTATCTATCTATCTATCTATCTATCTATCTATCTATCTATCTATCTATCTATCTATCTATCTATCTATCTATCTATCTATCTATCTATATCTATCTATCTATCTATCTATCTATCTCTATCCATCTATCTATCTATCTATCTATATATATATCTATCTATCTTCATCTATCTTCTATCTTTCAATCTATCTATCTATATATCTATCTATCTCAAGCAACTTGAATTCATCTGTTTGAGAAAATCTATTAGTATCGATTACGTTGCTTTTGGTTCCTTTTTTTACTAAAGATTCCGAGAATTTCGATGTAAAAACTTTTATTACAAGTGGTTTTTATAATATAATAATATAGTGATTTATAGCAAATTAAAAGAAACTTTCTTGACAATCCCTTTTTTGAGTCAGAGCGAATTCCGGGTATATAAAGATCGGACAAAGATTATTCTGAATATGGGTATAAAACAGTAACCATTTTTTGAAGACACATACCGTCGTTAAGTTGGTAAGTTAACTTCTGAAAAAAGGAATACATCTTTAATGATAAGGCGAGAATACATATGTATGACTTCCCATTTTCTTAAGGAAAGCATGGCATAAATATAGTATAGACTGGGAAAGTACTTAAAAAGTAGGAAATAGTTTAGCTTATATTTATAAATAATAATACACAAAACGGGTTCTTGATTTTATAAGATAAACTACCCTCTTCAAGGGTACATAAAGCAATCACAAAGTCAATGCAAAAGCCAAAACTCTGCCAAAGTCACAGAAAACACATTCGAGCGGACTCTAATTGGAGCGGTTTCAGTTTACGTTTATATTTCCATGGAATTTCTAAGAGTTTATTGCACTCCGCACTCTTTTGGCCACTTGTCATCGCATTGTTGCGGCCAAAACTGAAAACTCTGGCTAAAACAGTGCAATCTCAACCAGTTTGTTTATCTTTCGCAGGTCGCGCGACTTTGAGGCGTTTTGTCAGCGTTTTTGCCGCTGGTTTCGTTTTTTTATTATTTGTTGTTTCCCCAGCATATAATTTGTTAATTTAACTTTTTGCAGCCTTTAATTGTTTTGGCCAAAGCTCAGCGACTGCTACTGCAGGCGGTTTTGCGCTGCAATTACGCTCTTAATAATGATTTTGTTTAAAAAATGTTGAACGGTTTGGCAACGCTTCCACTTTTGCAATCGGGCCCAGAATGTGGGGGCCATTGGATTATAGACATTATCGATATGGCTCTTTGATTGATTAAGGGTCGAGCAGAGGCTGCGAAAATTTAGCGTAATGACAGAGTATTTATTGATGGTTATTGCAATTACTCCGCGCAGGTATTGCAAATACTGCGTAAAAACTGGTGGATTGAGTCATTACATCTATTTTTTGGATCCGCCTTTAAAGATATTATATGTATTTTAAAGACTTGTTTATTAAGTTTGCTTATTTGTTCCAAAAAAATTAAAGGTGCAATTACAGCCACAACTACACGTAGCACTAAATGTAACATAGAATACCATTTATTATGCTATATTATTTTTTAGTACATTTTCAACTTAGCTACATACAAAATGTACGCTTAACTAAATTGAATATTTAAGTGATTGATTTATAACTTTAAGTGCCCATAAAAATAAACAAGATTAGGCTCTTTCGTTCATGCGGTGATTTAATCAAGTTATAAATCCAAACAAGTCGTTTTTTGAATGTGCTCTAATTTGAATCAATTTGGAAACTGCGAACGTGTTCTGCACCCCGTTGTTGTTCTATTAATTAAATTCAAATTTAATTATAACCTGGAACTTATTGTTTGGGCCTAGTACAGCCTATTGAAATAAGTTCGGAAATTATGCCGCAAAATCGCTGCCATTAATTTTCCTTCAAACAATCCATATCCATTGCACACAATTGCTGCCCTTGGATGGATATTGAAGCTTTTCCTTGGCATTCAGCTGGCAGCGGACTTTCAATCTGACAAATCTGAAATTAATTCAGTCCACGGCGATTTCGTTCCGAACTTTGTGTCCGAATGCCAGCTGGGACAGTGGGTCACTAAATCAACGCTCAATTACAAGCGGACCGTTAATTATTACAGTGGGCTCGAAATAAGCAGGGCGTCCAAAAATAAAGAGATATACGTATTCCGCGACCATTAAAGTCTCGTTTGTCGATCGCGCGAAAGGCAGATATGAATCTGCCAGCGAAATAAATTAATGCCTTTAATCCACACGCCTGTCCGTCAAAACTCGGGAATACAACCCGCACAAAAGAAACAAATACTTTTTCGTTCCGTCAATTTTGTATTTCAAAACCCAAACACTAATGCACTTGCATGCCAATTGACTGACTCACACCGATATAGACTTTCATCCGTGACCTTGAGGCGGCTGGCCGACATAACTCCCAACCGGCCCCGCCCTCCACCCTCCGCCTTTCCGCCAGATTTCCACAATTTGAAGACAAAAATCCACTTTATGGCCAAAAACGAAAACAAAAACAATAACAAAGACCGTGCGTTGAGCAAGGCAGCCAACCAAATAAAAAGAGCAGAAAAAATATACCGAAAATGCAGAAAAAACTGTAACAAAAATTAAAACACAGCAGCAAAAAATTTGAGTAACAAGCCGAGAGCAAAACAAACGAAAACCAACTAAAAAAAATTTGCAAATGGGGGGAGGAAAATCCTAAAAACATAAAAAACGCGTTTGCGCATAAAAACGCTTTGCTTTTGGCCAATTTTAGCCATTCGGCTATAAAGCGATCTATATATACTCTTTGCGATCTTACTCCTGCACCGACAGAATTTTTTTAGATAATAAAAAAAGATATAAAGATACAATAAAAATAAACAGCGAAACTTACACTTAAAGAAATTTTTAAATTAAATATAATTATGAAAACTCTGTAAATATAAAGTTGTAATATTTTTTCACGTGTTTTTATGAAAAGGATATATTCATATTAAAATAGATTTTAGGTTTTGTCAACTGTTTTTTTTTATTTGTAATCATTTGTAATCTTCTGTATTACAATATGTATTTAAATCACTCGCATAAAATATATACGTTTTAATGCCAGTTTTGGTAATATCAATTCCAAAATGATCCTAACTTTTTTCCCCGTGTGGCATATTATTAACCGTTACTTTTTTTACCAAACCCGCCGAGCTTACCAATAATGCACCCACCACATTTATAGTTGTTACTGGCTTTTAATCCCTCGTTGTCGTTGTTGCTGGATTTGATTGTTAAGCTTTCTATATTTACGGGTTGTTGTTTTTGTTTTCAGTTTCAGTTTTTGTTGTTCAACTGTTCAATGCAATTGTTGCTAAGCCGTTTTCTCAAATTGGAGCAATATTGGCGCGAGCTTTGAACGGATTTCGCAGACTGCGATATGTTTATGGCTCTTTCAAAAGTATTATTTTTTCGCGAATTATATGTGTATGTTGTTTTTATTTTGGCTTAATTACTTTAATGGATTAAGGCACACACTAAAGACACACACGCACTCACACATAGGCACACACTCTGAAAAAACCTTTATTTAACTGACTTGGTCGAAAGAGGTCTCTGATATAAATCCTTGATTTTTGGAACGGTCCTTAAATAGGTTTTCAGCTGTGTTGCTCGTGTTTTTTCTTCGATTTGGCTTAAAAAGTCTCTTTTCGAGGCTTAAAAATCGGAGGGTAGAAGGGTGGGGCCACTGCAGAACGAACTGCCTAACTGGAAAAGATACTTTCACGACCAGAAACACGTAGTGTTTTGTTATTTTGGAAAACCTCGGAAAGTCTCTCGAGCGCCGCGCTTGCGTCCGTTTTGCTACAGCGTCCACAATTAACTGAATTCCCACAGCGATCAGAAACTGATAAGTCGCCCAAGAAGCCAGGCTGAAAAGCTCCGAGAGCGTACGACTCAAACCCCAAGTTTTAGCCACATTCACAACACAGAACGCAGCCAAGTGCCAAGGCAAAAACACGAAAGGCAACAGCAAAAAAGCCCAACTCGATTTGCAGAACAAACGGCAAACACAGCTGCCAGCAAACAAAAATCCAATACACCAGCAAACAAATCGCGCCCCAAAGTCGGACTCTCTTGTTAAGTCTTGTGCTCCAAGATTCGCACATTTTGATGGCTTGTTTTGAGCATGAGCCAAGCTTGAAGTCCACTGGAATTAACCAAAACTAACGTTAACGACCACCTTTGGTCACTTCCTTTTTCTTTCAATTGGTTTTTGGGTTTGTAAGAAAATAGAACAAAATGTTATAAAATTTGTCTTTTTAATATTTTTATCATTTATTTTTTGTATTATTTTTTTAAATTAAATTTTATTACCTAGAAATTAAGAACTCGTATTATTTTGAAGACTACATAAGCTTATTTTAGTTTTTACATACATTTTACAAAATCATGTATATTACATTAGCTAATACTTGAACCATTTACATCAGTTGTGTAAAACAAGTGTAATATAGTAATACCCCTTACTCGTTGAGTAAAAGGGTATATTAGATTCGTCGGAAAGTATGTAACTCGTTTCCGTCTCTATAAAGTACAATGTTCTTGAGCAGGATCACTAGCCGAGTCGATCTAAGCATGTAAAATTAAAATGCTTCCACTCCTTCTCATTTGCTAAAAACTAATAATTATAAATGATCCATTATAAATACTTTTATAAAATTATAGATAGACTTATGCGTCCATTTTCTTATCTAAGTATTGAATAGAATGTAAGATAATTTTAAATCCGGTAAGGATTTTCCGAGTAAATCTTAACTATAAAAATAAAACTAACAAAACGATAGTTTCCAGAGCACCAACAAAAAGTGAAATGTAACCAAGGCCTTACTAGCCTACCCTTCTCTTTTTTATAGTTAAACTAGATTTACCACTTTTTACTAATTATGAAATGTTTATTTTATATCCCATATTAATTTACAATAATATTTACAATTTAAGCGGTACAAAATGCGATATTTTCAACTAAACCACAACATATTTGCTAACAATCGGGAATTGCGGGTCGCTAGCTACGCAGATTGATTTGATTAGACTACAGATAGCTGGTTATGCAGAGGCTTATCACAAAAGAAAAAGGAATATTTTGTACAGGCGGGTCTGTGGGTCATGAATCTCTAGCAGATTACAATTTAAATTGATGGTTCGATCTGACGGCGTTATCCGCAGATCAATTAGAACATCCAATTGTCGAATTTCCCGCGGCGCGTTTGCTTGCTGTTTTAAAAAAGAGATTGTATCAAAAAGGTTAGTTTGTTATCCGGCCTTAGATATGTTGATTCTCTATCGCTATCTATCTATATCAGTCATTTGGAAAAAATAAGAAAAACATAATCACATCGAAATAAGAAAATGAAAAACATTCAGAAAACATTGAAGTATTTATTTGCATTATTTATTGGTATTGCTTAAGTTTTAGGCATCATCATCATCCACTCCATCGAACTTTGTATATTTCTCTCTGTTTTAGTATATAGTTTATAGTACAGTTTACTCATAACTTTAATACATCTTTAAAAAATAATCATAAATCGTATAAACAAAACAAGTCGCAATCGAAAGCAGCTAAAAGAAATCACACTCTTTAGCTTTCCGGAATGTACGAGTGTATAAAAAATACTTATCGAAATTATCAGATATACAGGGGGGAATACAAAGTATTATAGCGAAAAACGAAACGGTTTTGGCATGCAAAAACGATTGATCGCTAGCGGTTTTGGATAGATCATTCTGGTATATAAGTACAGAACACAGAGTACAGATATTTGGGATTGTCTTGGGTTCGGTCTCTACTCTACGACGTTCTACGTTTCTAGGCCTGGGCATAAGTGTATTGTAGAGTTCAGCACTCGCTAAAAATCAAGGACTCAAAGGGCTAGCTAAAAGGCGGTTCTAACTAGGCTCAAACTTGCGTCACGCACTGCGCGTATTTGTCCAGTTCGCTCCTCAAAATCTTGACGCGTTCGGCCTCGGATTTCAGGGCATTTACCAGCTCCTCGATGGTTCGCTGTTGGTTCAGCACCAGTCCCTCCAGCTTGTCCACCCGCTGCTCCAGTTGGGCCACCCTCGTGGAGCCGGCATCCTGATGGTTATTCAGCTGGCTGGAGGGCTTCTCCTTCTCCTCCTGCGACTGCGAGCTGCTGGCATTGGAGCTCTTAACCAGAGGTGAAACACTTCGTTGATTTCGAATGGCCAGACTGTTTGGCCTCGTGGCCTTCGTCTCCTCGTCGCTGCTGGCTGCTTGGACCTTGGCAGCCGTCAAGCTGCGGGACATGATGGCATCGTTGGTGGTGGTGCTGGAGCTACTGGTGGTCACCGAACTGCTGGCCGTTGAGTTCTCCACAAACATTGAGGACGTCACCGCCGAGGATTGCACTTTCGTTGTTGTACTGCTACTACTACTGCTGCTGATGGCCTGCTCGGCGGCAAAGAGTTTGGATGTCCTCTCGGCCACCGAAGCTCCCCGGGGCTCCACACTGGGCGAGGTCTTCTTCCGAGTGACCTGGGAGGCCTTGAGCTCCTCCATCCAGGGCGCCTTCTTCTTCTCCCACTCGCGTGGCTTCGGTTTGGCCAGCTGTGGCTCTTCACCCGTGGAATTGTCATCGGAGGTCTTTCCTCCAGCACCGCCATCTTCACTCAGCTCACTGGCACTTCCCGCTCCTCCAGATCCTGCCATTCCACTGCCATTCACGTATACGGAATTGTTATTGCTCTCGCCCAGGACATTTATGGCCGCCGATGGAGGACGTCTCTTCGGCGCCTTGACCCTTCCCTGCCGCATGTCCGTGAGTATCGAAGCACGCTCCACGCGATCGAAATCCGTATCCTCCACAGCGATGGTAGCTGCTCTCCGGATCACCACGTTGCCAGCTGCTCCGGATTCTGGCAGTTGATTAGCACCTGTGAGCATCTTACTCGCCGTAAGACCATCTGCCAAGTCGTGGGACACTGCAGTGGTGAGCTTGCCCTCGGGATTCTTTTTCTTGCCGCCCAGAAGATTACCTGTGGTAAGGAGATGAAAGATTAGCATGACTTGTGGACTTGCTAGCTGCAACGCTTTTGATCGATTGTCAAAAATACTTTGGCTATTAGCAATTGGGGAAAGCATTCTTTCCTTAACAACGTACTTCCTATCGATACCATACCTTTATTTAATCGGACACAAGTTCGTTGACCAATTGGAAACGTTAATATACTTGTACACAAATGGGTACCAATAACTGGCATATAGCTACTTCCTATCGGAATTATAATATTTGTTTTTTAAGAAAGCTTTTAGCTTGTGTTAAAGACGATAAATGAGTAATTTGGTTAGCCAAGTATTTTTATCAACCCTAGAGCGATGCATTGTCAGGCTGTACTGTACAGTACTTACCAGCCACAGGCACTCCACCCGTGGGAGTTTTCTTGAGGGGCACACTTGGCTTCTTGCTGAGCACCGGCGGCGGTGGTGACTTGACCTTCTCGTCCATCATGTTCTCCAGGGATTTGCTCACTGCCGAGGAGGTCAGTCCGGTGGATATTGTGGTGGCCGACGAGGTGGTGGTGGCACTGGAGGTGCTGCTACGCTGCTGTCCAATGGCCACTGAGGCGCCCACACCCGGCGGTTTGGTCAGATCCAGGTTCTTGTTCTCCAGGGACTTCCTCTGGGCGGCCACATTGCCGGTGGGCAGACCCGTCTCACTCAGGATGTCGTTGAGGGAGTCACGGGAGCCGAAGCTCTCCTTGCGACCCGCCGAGGATGAGGCTGTGGTGGTGCTGCTGGTGGTGCTGTTGCTGCTGCTCCCGGTCTTCTTGATGTACACCTTCGACGTGGTGGAGGAGCTGCCTCCGCCGATCTGCTCCTTCTGCTGCTGCGTGGTCACCGAGGTGGTGCTGCTGGAGTTGGTGGAGTTCGTTGTGGTCATGTGGCTGGCGGTGCTGCTGGTCTTCCTCTGGTTTTGGGGCTGCGTGGTGGTTGGCGGCTCGTTGATCGGTGCAACTGGAAAATGGGTAAACAGAGTCAGGGATTAGACACACTGAACGCAATTAGCACCTGCGAAACGACATGCAAACATTCAACTTTATTTACCAACAGTAGAAATCAGTACAAATGCAAAGCAATCAAGGAAGCGTAATATTTATCGAATGTTTAATTGTTTTTTTTACAGTTCTATTAAATGTTTGTGTATTTATTTTTAGGACAGCTAATCGGAAACAATTTAAAATTTATTTTTGACCCAAGTAAACAGACAGGGAACGTATTGTATACACGCCAATATTTGTATTTCATATTCGAATGATTTTTATGTAAGCTTTTACTATTTTTTTTTTGTAGATTGACCCTTTTGGTTCCTAGGACCACTATTTTTGTCACTATCGCTTGTATCTCTTAGCCGATTTCCACTGCTATTCAGCAATTCGCGTTCGGATGAGGTGGTCCATGACTAACCATCCCGGTTCAGAACAGCTGAGCAAGAAACAGCGCGAAACTGGTTTCGCGCCGACAACTTGTTGCCAAATGTCAATAAAACTAATGTGGAAACGCTCAGGGAAACACTCGTACAATAGAAAAACAAACGAAAACCGAACCGAAACTCAAGTTTGAAGCTCAAGCTGAATCTGTATCCGAGTCTGAGGCGTAGGAGCGGATCAAAGCGGGCTAAAATAACAAACGGCTTGCAGCAGACGACAACTGACGGGCATAAATAAACGCCAATAAATGGCTGTGATGACAAAAGCCAAATCAAACCAAAGCAAAGCAAGACAGAGTCAAGACTAAAAGCCAACGAAAAGTATTGAGTAACAAACTTAAAATGTGTAAAGGTCAGACCCAAAGA